CAGAATGTACAGAGGTCTCCTCCTCTCCAAATCAAATGGACCAGGTGATTAAAAGCAGTAAAAACACTGATTAAAGCAGTTTCACATTAGAAAATTATGTTTTTCTGAAGCAGCTCGTCACAGAAGGGCTGCTAAAATGTCAGTGACTGTATCTGAAGCCAGTGTTTGGTTGGTCCGTTCTGGGCTACTGTAGAAACATGGAGGTGCAACATGGTGATCTTTGTAGTCGAGGACCCGCTCCCTGTGTAGATAGAATTCTAAGGCTACGAAAACACGCGTAAAACATTCTTATTATCAGGTGATTACAGACTAAAGAATTCATCTTATTATATTGCCTATCTGCCAATATATCCCCCTAAAGTTTTTGCAAGACATGTTTGTTCTATTTTAACTTTTTAAATGTGTCCCTCTGCATCACCTCTCAATTAAAAGTGAGCTGTTTGCCTGACAACAGCAGTTGACTCGAGCCCCTGCTCCTCCCTCTTCAGCGTCCCTTGTGACAGCCGCGCGCAACTCAAGCGCCCTGCAGAGCAGCATCACGTCTCCCTCATCTGACGTCATGGACAGCCAGGTAACGACTGTGTGTGCCCCGAGCCTCGGTATTCTTTGTCTCTGTTGTGAAATTAAAGCACTATTACATATCTTAATACAGGCAGTCTAATGTGGGCAATAACCCAGCGTTAAGTTTAACAACAAGTAAGATAGTGTGGCGTAAAAGCACACCGTCTCCCTCCAACTCTCTGCCAGATTCAGGTTCACCAGCTGCCCGGTGTGAGCGGAGACACACGCCGAACTGCTTCCCCACGTCCACAGGTCTTATTAAACTAAAACTCAGTCTGAAATAATGTTTACATCTCCCACGTCGCGTCTCTGCTGATTAAATTAAACAAAGATGACGTCATGCAGTTTGGGGCTGCGGTGCGTAAAGACTTGATCTTGTGATCATGTGAACCCATCCCCCTTCACTGCCATTCTCTACCTGTCCACCAGATGCCCTCAGACTTGCACACTTCCACATGCAGCCACTTCCTCCTGCCCTGCAGTCACCCCTGTCCTGCCACTGCCATCAGCCGGGGCGCGTTCAGTCTCACAGGGTGCCTTTCTTTTTACTTTTACAAGGTGCTGCAGCTGCCATTTAAAAGTCTGTGCTGTTGCATGCAGCATGCACACAGTCAGGACACACTACTGCCTCATAAGATTACACCTTGAACTTTGACCCTCTTGCTTTTATATCCGTTTCCTTGGAGATGAAACAAACGCCACTTACCCAGTTCGCCAGAGACTGAGATCAACCCAGAGAGCTCTGCTGTTGTTACTTTGTCATGTGTGTAGTTTATAATTTAAACTATCTTAATGTTCTTTTTTCTTAATAGACGTGCAAAATTAGGGTGCACTTGATGATCTGAATGAAAAATATGTCTAATTAGGAATATTAGATATAGTAATACTTAGGTCAGTGACCTGTTCGACACAACTATTAAAACATTAAGTAGAAAAACAGTCATAAAATATTAAATTCCACAGCCTGAGATGGCACAATACAATTTCTTGTAACTTTAAACTGTTTTTAATCCCCTGGCTACTTAAAAAATAGCAATCATATTTTATTTTGATTTAAATTTGAAGTTTTCAAAGCTGAAAAGGCATTGATTTTCATGGAGTGACTCATTACACACTTGCCAAATGAACGGAGTTAAAGAATAAAAAGCTTGGGTTGAATAAGCTTTAGTTTTAGTGAAAAGAAGAAAAAGAAGAGAGGTC